ATACATATATATACACACACGCACACACGTCTCAGTCAGTCCTTGTACAAGGCTTCTCGGGTCAAACGGAGGACCTGGGGACTACCGAGACAAGAGGCTTTCACAACGGACAAGTCCCGTCAAAAGCAGCAAGGCCGCTAGGAGGAGGTGATTGTTAGCAACAGCAATCGGCTGGTTCCCTGTTGGGGCCACATTAAACATGATCATCTTTAATCCTTATTAGGGTTTTATTGTAACAAAAATGTAAAATTGTATCCAACAAGGACCCAGACAGAGGGAGGAGGAGCTTTCGGTTCGAGATGTTTCATGGCGGTGCATGGTGTTGCAGCCAGCCGCTGGCTATATCACACTGCTATCTCACTCGTTCTCTTGGAGTCTCACAAAGGATGCGTCACATGTTCTCATGTGAACTACCCGATTTCTCGTCGTCGCTATCTCGCTGGCCAGATTGTCTACCAGCCTTCTCCAAGCTCGCCGAAGCTCACATGAAATCTGAGCAGGAGGGAGTCCGCCTCCAACATGCTATCTGGATTCGGCAGGTCAAGCTCTGGCAGAAGTCAATGCCAAAAGACAGGACTGGACGCTGATGATGGTCGCCTGCGCCTCCTTCAGCAGCCGCAATCTGATGCTGCCTCTGTCTCAAACAGGGAAGCACGGACTGACGGCTCAGTGCTTTGCCGAGTCTCTCTGTGTTGCGCTCGTGGTAGCCTCGCTTTGGAAGGTCCACGCTGGGCGGAATTCCGACAGCTGCACCGGCCGGAGTGCCGCCGCACCTCCGAGCTGGCGCTAGTCGTGCTGACCCCACTTCAAAAATGACCAGGGCGTGCTTTCCTTGCCCCAGGTCCCGGCTTTGCTGAAGAGCCAGCGGCACTGGTGCGAGCCCTCCATGCGATTCTGCGAAAGGCTCCTTAGCCCGAATGCGGTAACAGATGCAGAGCTGGGCCGGGCTGCGGCTTGCCCACATGCAACTACATCCTGAAACCCCCCCCCCGTTTAACAAGCTCGCGGTAGCAGCGCTTTAGCACATCATCAATGCCGCAGCTTTGAGCACAGTCCCGAAAAAAACTCCCTGAATCAAAGCTCCTTTGGTGCTTTGCCAGAATCCAAGATCGCTCCTTCGACAATGCCAGCAGCAGTGACAAGCCGCGATGCTGCTAGGGCCACTTCCAGGTGGAGGCTCGAAGGCAAAACCTGAACATGCACCGCAAGGGGGGGGGGGCAAAGCGCTGCTGCCTACCGCATGAGTACATTCGGCGGAACGTGCACAACACACATTAACAACGTGCTTGAACACAAAGCGTCATTTAAATGTGATTCCCACCGGCCTCTTGACTAGCACAGAACTGTAGATGTATGCCCAGCATCAACTCTGGGCCTTTCAGGTTTCCGTGTGGGAAACCCTCAACTCTCCGTGCCATGATATTCGTCCTGACCTGCTTCACGCACTGCGGCCTGGGATATATTTGGGCCATTCGCTCTGTTCGGATGATCGATGGCTTGGTGCCTTTTTGTCAGCGTTTTGACGCTTCTAAACCGCTCTCCATACCTTGGTATCTATTCTAGTGTAGACACCTTGCGAGACAGTGTGGACTCGACCGGCTGCCCTTCCTGGGGCAGCTGCCCTTCTTCAAACTAGCAAGTCCTAACCGGGTTTAACTAAGTAACAATCCTGGCAAGACTAGCTGAGCCTCAGCGCCATGCTGTGTGATTCGAACCAGAAGACCCCTTCTCATACCGTTGCAACGCCAAGCAACTTGCGCTCCAGCAAGCTTTGGCTGAAGCTGCTGCAGCACCTGTAACTTGTGAAAACTGCGAAAACATATTCAAATTGCAAATTGCTAACTTGCTGGTCCCCAACGTACTCTTTTCAAAGCCTTGGCACGGCAAGCACGCCGCAGCCTAGAAGGCCATCAGGCTCCAGTCCTGCACTGCTCCGCTTAGCGGAGAGCAAGATAGGGGAGCTTAGGAACAGCAGGCTTTCCGAAACTTTCCTTCAACTGCACAGATGTCAAAGGAACTCGACGCTGCAACGTCGGGTATCAGAGAGACCAACTCTGTCACTTTGTTAGCACCTGGGCAAAGGGTAGGCCCACGGAGACGTCTGGGGGGGGGTCATGCAAAAAGGTTCAGAGGGATCCGCTGGGCTCCTCACGGAAGACATTGCAAAGTGCCGACCGGGCTGTCGGGTTCGGCTCGACCACTTGGACCGAAGCACCACAGCGGGCAGCGGCCACTGCCGAGACCTCAGAGGCTTCAGAGCGCCCAGCCATCGCAAGGACCCGGCAGGGACTCTGTGCCAGGGCGGCGGCCCCGAGGCCGCCAAGCACCAGCACCTGGGCTTTGCCTGCAGGGGTTGGCCAATGACACAACTCTCTACATACACATATATATACATATGTATATATTTGTTTATTTATTTATATTTATACTTATATGTATATTTATATTTATATGTGTATATATATATATAGACACACTTGTATTTGTTTTTTATATATGCAATGCTCACTCTATCTATCTATCTATCGATCTGTCCATACTACCATACCGTACTACCCCCTCTATCCCCCTACCTTTGTCATCTCGGCCACGAGCGAGGAGGGCGAGTAACGCGGATGCCAGGCGGCCGGGATATTCCCAGCGCTGCTCCTAAGAGCACGAATTTCCAGAAAAGAGCCCGCAGAGAGGGGGAGAGAGAGAGAGAGAGACTTCTTTCTGCGTCAAGTCTTAGGGCTCTGGCAGCCAGCCGGGCCCGATGGCCAAGCGCAGCCCCAGCCCCGAGCCGCCGGGCGGCAGCCAGCAGCTCCTCTGAGCCCCGAAAACCCCGGCGGGTTGAGAGTTTGGGGCTCAGGGCTCAGGGTTTGGGGTTTAGGGGTTGGGGTTAGGGTTTGGGGTTTAGGGTTTAGGGGTTTAGGGGGCGTTTAGGGCTTAGGTTTTACGGTTTAGGCCCTTAGAGTGTTGTTTACATTCTGGTTTTTCGGTTTCGGGGTTTAGGCCCTTAGGGTTTGTTTATATTCTGCTTTTTGACGGGAATGCTACAAGTAGCCGAGAGCTTCGATAACAGCCCTTGGAGGAGGGTTCCAAGAACTTTGCCGGAGGAAGCTGCCCTTGCTCATTCTGCTCTCGAACACCTTCAACGAAGCCAGGCGCTGCCTGAATCTCATCAGGGCGACCATTGCACTCGTCTCGGTGCCAGCAATGCCAGCAAAGGTCTCTGTCATCCATATCCTTGGCAGTTGGGCCGTGGACACAGCTTCGAAAGCCTCTCCCGAAAACAACCTGCTGAGCTTCTGGATGGCAATCGACAGTGCAGAGCACCTCCCAGAAGCGCAGTCGAGACTTTTGAGTCAAAAGTGGGGTCTCCAGGCCTCTGTGGGTGCATCAGCACTTCTCTTTCGGCACTTCGCGTCTGGCAGCTCTGGTGAATCGTCTTGTTCGAACCTAGCACGAACTCCAGTCATCTCTTTTCTTCCTGAACAACGAAAAACTTCGCCTGTGCACAGCGTCGGCCACTCTTTGCGGCATCTGCAGCCAGGGTGGGCGCAGAAGATCCTCTCAGTGGTGTTCAAACGTCTTGCCGCCGCAAGAAGCACGCGGGCAAGACAGAAACTCACGACCCGGAAATTCAGTAGCATTCGACATGAAGAAATGCATCCACAGCCGCCCCTCCCGCCCGGTCCACGGCAAGGGCGGTGAGTGGAGAGCTCTCGCCACACGAACGCACCCGAGCAATCTCATCCATGCTGAAGGACCTGACGGACGAAGCACAGAAGAGCGACCGCATGTTTTCGCCCAGACCAACTACCCTGACAGAGTGTGTTTGCCTCAGCCGTGCATCCGCCACACGAAGTCGCTCCCAGGTTTCGTGACGGAGCTCGCGCCAGAGAGCATTGCTGGCCTCGCAGCTCAAACTTGCTCGAATCCATGCCTACCCGCAAGCCTAAGTAAGGACCGTCGCTCGCCTCCAGCTGCTCCAGCGCCGTCGCCACCTCGCAGCAAGCAGTTCTGATGCTCAAGACTCTTGCTTCTGGCCGAGCCTGTAGCGCATCGCCACAGCCCTCGGCACAGGCATCTGCCACCCGAAGCCAGGCAGCCGACATCCCAAGGAGGCATTGCAGGCACGCACGTTCGATTCAAAATCAGGCTCGCGTTCTGGTTGAAGATGAAGTTACGACAACGTTGGAATCCTGTCCTCACTAGTTCCGCAGCCTCCCAGACATCTCATCGAGTTGGCTTTCACCGCATAATTAGATGCTGCTCCGAAGACGTGTGTGGGTGTGAGTGTCTGTGTGTATGTGTATTGCTCTAAAGCCCTCCAGGCTGTATGGCCTTTGCAACAGGGCATGACATGTCTTATCCCTTCGATGCTTCAGGAAAAAAACCTGGCACTCTGGCTGTTCAAGCTGCACATCTTTCTGTTGACTCTTCCTCGCTGTGTCTAGTCTAAGTCATTATTTCTGTTTACAGTGGCAGATTTGCCCTTGACCCTTCTGAGAGCTCTCTCGCTCCCGTTCCTGGTCTTTCCGATGGGCGGCGACAGCTGCGGTCAAGCACAGACCTTTGCAACAAGCATTGAGCTCGCACAGACGGGTGCAGAAGTTGACAGCCTTTTCGGATCTTTTCGGCAAGTGGCAGCAAAGCTGCGAAAATGGCCGCGAGTCGGCTAGGAAAATGTAGGATTTTCGGCCCTTGAGGCATCCTGGCACAGGCCGAGTAGACTGGCATCGCTCGCTTTGGAGTCGTGGAGTCTCAGATCACAGCTTCCCAAAGCTTGGGCATATCTCGATTTTCACTCCTGGGCACAGAGGCGGGGGCAGCTGGGCTCTCAGACCGCCCCTTATCTCCAAGTCCAAGGAGCCGTCGGCCAAGATCGACAAAGGCAATGGCCAGCCATCTGCGGGTCCCGTGGTAGCCTTGTCATCTCCTGTTCCACACTGCCCTGCACTACGTTGACATCCAAAGATCATGTCTGCTTGTTGATCATCTGGAAAAAGGCGCGCAGAAGACACATCCTGGCCAGCGCCACTGCAAGGCAACGCGGCTGGCTGAAAGGAAAAGGCGATGAAGATTCAAAGCTCCCTCTTCTGGCTCCTGGTGCCAGGGAGAGAATATTGAGGACAGAAAAAAGAAAGAACAGACCCCAGTCGGGCTGAGCAGTCAAAATCGGCCTCGGGACTGGGACCGTCGCCCACACGAAGTGGAAGCCAGAGGGCCTGCTCTCTGAAAACTTCACTTCGCCTGCGACTTGCCAAGTGCGGTTGTGGTGTCCTTGATGGCTGGCGTCCACCACAGGGGCAGCCGCCCCTCCAAGCTCAGGGTGACGCCGGGCCTGCTGGCATCTAGCAAACCCTAGCAAACCCTAGCAAACCCATGGATCGGCTCTGCTGTCCAGGGGCCCTTCGGCACCGTCGCACAGACGGAGAGCCTAGGGCCAGGGCGGCCAGTCTGAAAAGAGCTGCACAGTGTTTCCCGTGCCTCCCAACCGAGCACGCGCACCACATCGCCGTCTGAGACGCTGCAGCGCAGAGCTTCCCCACCTGGGCATCTTTGCGTGTCAGAAACAACTCCCCTTTTTTTCAAAAACCCTTGCCTTCAAGATCTTCAAAGTAGATTGTCCGCTCCTCTGCTGGGACTTGCCAGACCTGCTGGCACAGCACCTCAGCCTGACAGCAAGGCTGAGCCCATGTCATGTGGCAAAACTGTTGCAGTCGCGCCTCTTTGGAGGAGACGCAGAGCCTGGAGCCCCACCTTGGAAGCTGCACAGAGCATTGCACAGCTCTTCGTTCCTTCCACCCTGGTCTCGCTACACCTTTGTGACAGCAGCAGGGCAACCGCGTCCCTCTATGTGTCTCAGCACTTTGGAGACGTTGTGTTTCAGATATGTACAGGGGCAGCCACGCCACAGCTCAGTTTCAAGCCGTGCCTACCGGGTGCGCTGGGTGCCGCTCTAGGCTGCCAGAAGCTTGGTCTTGGCAGCGTGGAACTCAACGTCGCTGAGGAGGCCGGAGGCCCGCATCTCACCCAAACGACGAAGCTCTCCCTCGGATGGGGAAGCCATGGGAGGCCATGCAGTGCTGGCGCTACGTTGCAGCTCAAGTCTACAGATTTTCGCAGTGCTGCCAGGATGCTGCCAGGAATGCCCCATCCTACAGGGCGTTGCGGCTTTATGCCAGAGCACAAAAGCATCCCCGACTTGGGCGGCCACCTTTCGAGGTCCCAGGCGTTGGGGCGGTGCGGCGCGAACCTCCCGCAACACTCCAAACGATGCAACCGAAACCACAGCCAAGTCCAAACGAAATGTGCATACAACTCAAACTCGGGCTTCCACGGCTTACCGTATTGGAGGTGTCAGTTTGTCAATTGCTCAATGGGCAAAGTCAGCGAGAACGGGGCCTAGCAAACTATGTTCTGGTGGCTCTCCGAGCCGTGGGCCCTTCCCTTCTGAAAGGGATCAGATCCTGTACTGCGGCATTCGAGAAATCTGCCCAGCCACACCATGAACCCCGCTTTCTCGATCCTCCTCGTTAAAAGAAAAAAAGCGAAAACGACTCGGGTGCTCCGAGTCCAGAGATCCACAGCCTCATCACAGCAACGAAGACCCAGCCAGGCGCAGAGACCTGGACATGGCTCGGACCACATCTGAAGGGAACACAATCAGACACAATCAGACCCAATCAATGAGATGCTCTGAACCGTCAACAATTGCCGCCACTGCTCATAAGCTCGAGTGAAAATGTGTGCAGAAGTCTCACTTGCATGTTCGTGCGGCGGCCTCCGCTGCTTGCCTTCTCGACTTGAGACGGGACACCGCCCAATGCAAGGAGGCGAAGGTTTTTCCGGTGAATCCTTGCAAGGCGCTTCGGAGCACTCTGTCCGCACAAGCGATACTCCGATCTCAATTCAAGGCAGCCAAGCGTCAACACCTCTCCCTCTCCTGCCAAGAGGTACATACGACATGCATGCCTCACGCTGCAACAGCATGTGTCTGAGGCGATTTCTGCTACACAGCTCCTGCTAGGAGCAGCTTTGCATGTGTCGAATACGAGGGGCAGGATTCGATCAGCCGTCCTCAATAGACGCCAGCTGAGCCATGCTTCGCAGTCCGCTGTCCGTGCCTTCCAGGCCGTTGAGGCGGGCGTTGGACGTAGAGCCTTCGACTCGGCAGCAGGCCCCCTGCGGAACGAAGGACAGGTCCTGAAGGACTGCTCACTTCGATCCCTCAGGCCCTTCAACTGGAAGTTGTACTTTCAGCAGAACCCTTCCAGCACCTGCAGGAACTTGCCCAGGTTCTCAGCGCCCAGAGAAGGCAATGCAGATCCCAACTTTTCCGCTGGCAGAGACAGGAGGAAAGCGATCTCCTAGCGTTGTGGCGCACACGACGTGGTTCTCCCCTCTCCACTTGAAAGGCCCCTTGAAACCAGCAGCGCCTCTCGAACGCACGCCTTGGCAGCCCAGAGTCTTGCCACGCAGGGAAGGAGCCACTGGAGGGCCTCTTGCAGACTTCATCTGCGAGGGAAGACCCCAACAAAGAGCCGCCGCCCGCCTCTGCGGTGCAGAGGCAGGCCGGACTTGGGGTGGCCTCTCCCAGGAGCGCAGAAGGCGCCTGCACCTGTTCGACGCTTAGAGGCCTTGAGCCTCTCCGTGGCTCCTTTTGCAGAAGGTCGTCGTGCTCTTCAGGTTGCTTTTCGGGGACGGTGCTGGTGCGATATGTGCGTCCTCTCAAAGACTCCAAGGATGTCATCGGTACTGCAGCTTCGGATTCGAAACCAACTTTCAATCATTAGAATACGCTTCGCCACACCGCCACAAGGCATGAGATGCCCTCTGGTCTCTGTCGAGAGGTCTGGGCTGTCCTAACTTCATCATTGTGCCGAGCCTCCTCCTGGGCCGGAATCGGCATGTTGGCAACGTTGGGCCACTGGGAGGCCTGTCGGATCAGAGCATCGTCAGGACCTTGCTGCAAACACCCTGCGTCCTTGATTCCTAGATTCCGCAAAGGGAAGAAGGCTCCTACAACCCCTGAACCTCTAAACCTTGATGATCCTTGATATAGAGGAACCCTCATCATGCCCTTAGAGTCTGCAAGAAGGCCTCCGTGAGCTGACGCGAGGGGATGGAGTCGAAACGCAAGTTCTTCCGGGCGATGAGCATGGCATCTGCACAAGACGAGAGACTGATTGGGTTCAACCATTTTTAGGGTTTTATGGTCCTAGAAGAACGTCATAAGGTACTGGATGGGTTTAGGGTTTAGTTGCTCTTTCGGAAGACTGAAACGTGAGCCGCTTGCACGCCTTGGTACTCCCCGGGTGGATCACCATCTCGAGCCTGCCACGCAGGGAGCGTCACACAAGCACTGTTCTGTGCTGCCTGTGTGTCACAACCCCTGATCCGGCATCATCGATGCATCTGCAAATTCATGCAAGCACGCATGTGTTGGCAATGCAGTCAGTCCGTTGACAGAGATACAGGCTGAAGCACGTGATCACCCCTGGGCCGCTCCAACCAAGCGTGAGAGTACTCAAGAAGGCTTTCAGCTTGGGCCGTCTTTGACCTGCATGTGCATGTGTACTGCAAGGCCTCCACGACGACCAGGGCATGCGTCTCGACACCGGAGAGATCTCGGCACAACGTGCAGCGCCTCGGATCGGCAAAACTACCGCTGCCGCTAGCCTTGGCCCAGCATCCCAGCATATCTGGAACGCCTCTCGTTCAGCTGCGGAGAGGAGTTCGAGCCGAAGATGCCGCAGCCGGCGCCTTGCAAGGCTTGCAGCGGCTTGCAGCAGCTTGCAGCGGCTTGCAGCGGCTTGCAGCTTGCGAAGCCACGCAACAGAAAACCAGGAGAGAGACCGACCGATGGACCGAGACACCTCTTGGCACGAAAGCCAAGTCCAGCAGGCAACTGCCCAACTGCTCCTCTCCCGCTGAGGCCGGAAGCTCCTGAGAAGGAGGAAGGATCCGTTTTTGCAGAGCCCCGAGGCTCGGAGCCTCATTGATGGTGTCCACAGGCAAGGAGAGCAACCAGGCGACTTCCTGCAACCCGTCTCCTAAGACTGGCAGCTTAGCAGCTTAGCAGTTTGGTGGCTCGCACCTCCCGGCCGCAGCCTCTGAGGGCGAGCTTGGCAACTACCTGCCAGATGTCAACTCTTGCGAGTGCCAAGATTCGCTTCGCCTCACCTCCGACAGCCATCTCTCAGCAGGCTTGTCCTCCGTCACAGAACGAGATCAAAAGCCCGTCTCCCAAGGAATTTTCCGAAGCATGGGCCGGCGGCCGGACTGAGGCAGCTCCGGTCCTGAAGAAAGGATGGCAAGGTGGCGATCTCTGCAATGACATCCTCGAATGGTCAAGACATGGATTTCGATAAACTGCTTGGCCACCATGGAATTCCGACTGAACCACAACTCGCTGGTGCACTTCCGACAGACTCGTGTGCATCCCACACAATGGTGATTTGATGTGATTCAACATCCCTTTATGTCGCGGAGCGGCGTTGGTGTAGAAGCGATCTTCTTTGAGTGCGCTTGCCTCTGGAGCATCAGCAGCCTCGCCAAGAGCAAAAGAAAGAGCACAGCCTCACTTAGGCAATGAGCAGATGCATCCTTTCTTTTGTTGCCATGACGTACTACCCTAAACCCTAAACCCTAACATGCAACGAGACACAGGATCTTATCAGAACAGCAGGATGCGGGCCTTCATGTGCACGGCCGCAGCACTTCGCCATGGCACGAAAGGCTTCACCAAAGCTACACGGCCAAAAGCGTGCCTGTAGCTGCAGCTAAAGCTAGCTAGAAGCGCCTGGCGGCCGCAACTTCAAGGGTCACAAGATGACTGGCAGATTTAGACTGCTGGATTAGTCACTGGATCCGACCGGTCTTGCGGGCAACACCAAGGCAGTGGACAAAGACACCTCCAGTAAGGCAGGCTCTCCCAACTACTACCATGATTAGCATCCTACTACTCTTACTACGTCTAGCCGGGGTGAGGCCGAGAGTCGGACTGGCCAAGAGCGCCGCCACGTCCCAGCACCAGGGAACCCATATCCACCACCTGGAGCAAGCGTAGCAATATCAGTAATGAAAATACTAATAGTGATAATAACTAATAAAAATACCAAATAACGATGAGAATAACAGTACGCATATTCATCATAGTAGTAACAATAATCATAATAATAATACGAATAATCATAATCATTATAAGCTGGCTCATACCTGCCACCGTGTTTAACGTACCCCTAAA